TTAGGGTTTGTCGGATGTCGGGAGCGAGCAAAACTATATAAACATTCAACACACTTACTGGGGTTTAGGTTTAACCCCGATGGGGAGGAGAAGGACTGAAGTTGTTCAAGATTTTTCGTGAAGGAACTTTCGTCCTCAATGTGTAATCTAGTGGCGTAACTTTAATTTTTGCAAATGCAGACTTGTCTATCCAGACCAATTAGTGGCTCACCACAATCAGAATGGGGTAATTGGTCGCAGTTTATGTATCCGTTAATCGGTAGAATAACCCTTCCTAAATGAACTAGGGTTTCCTTCCTCTGAAAAAAAAACGATTGTATTTCTGTTGATATCATATTCTGGCTCAATCCTTGCCTTTCGTGAAAGAGAATCAACTGCGGTCATGACCATGAACTGATTTACTATCAGCGTGGGCGTTTGTTTATCGTGTTATTGTTATTTGTGAAAGCACGTTAACATGCTTTTCAGTTGAAGATTTCATATACGGACCTACACAATGAACAAGGTGTAAAAGATAAGAATCAGGGATTTATAGATCACAGTGAAAACTGCATCTGTTCGGTGAGTAGGGGCGCCAACTCAGGAAGAGGAAAATTTTCTTATCTGTTTATACAAGATAGGATATATTGAAATTCAATGCATGTGGAGAGATAGGATACTACAGCACACCACTTCACGGTACAAACAATGATTAGGGGGCCTAAAGAATCCCTTCTGCGAAGTTAATGCGTGGATGTGTTGTTAAATCGAGTAATGCCTTTCAATACTTCATGTTTTGCACAATCAAAAGACTGTCGGCATCAAGATCGAGGAAGCTCCTTTTTACCCTACGGTTTATTTCCCGATTTGGTAGCTGCAGGTTTTCATCCGTGTTAGTAATAGTCCTCACCTATGTTCGCTGACCTACCAAAATACCCTCAGTTACTTGGCACATCATTGAAACAGATTTCAAGATGCAGTGGTATCTCTCGAGATGTACTGGAATATTTTATAATTAGATAGCGTTTTCACACTTAAGTGCGTTATCTTCGGAATGAATAAACATCCCCATCATCCATTGCACAATGATCTCAATAAAGTTCTGTCCATATCAAATATGCGTACAAAGTTAACTTCTCTTTGCCATACGACCACTAAATCTTATCTGTCCTTTCAATTTTACTTCTCTTTTATTGAATACTCAATGCTACAATTTCCAGGAATTGGGAAGCGACCAATCAAAGAGCTGCAATATATCAGCTCCACATTCTAATCCAGAAGAAATCGCCCACAACTTGTCTTTAGAGTTAATCATCATTCAAAAACCATTCTGTTCGGCTGTTTTATTTTTGGTGGTGATTAGCAGCAGTGCGTAGCCACCGAATGTAACGGGATTCCTGCCTGGACACGAGGGATTGTTAATCCGATGCGCTAACTACTTGGGACATACGGAATGGCTCTCATTAGTTTGTTGCATGCCGTCGAATGAGCACCGTGTTGTGCAGTCTTCCTCTATTTTGACAAATCATTTTATTGTGTTAGCAGTTTTTCCGAATGCGAGTACCGTTGAATCTGACCCATCTCCTTTGATCAACCAATTGTAGTAAAATAAAATATTACAAACAAAACATGAATCATGATGAGCCGTAAAGAAAATATCTTATCTCGTACAGACGTAGCATGCCCACGATATTTACGGGGTTATGAATACAATCATGAGATCACCAAACAGTAAAAATATTCAAAGATAGCCCTGTTTATACGTAAGAAGCATACCCATGTGTGGCACATGTTAAAGATGTGCTATTATCCGCTATGTCACACAGCGACCAGCACAGCGCGGAAAATCATACAATACTGTCGAATTGAGAACACATCGTTCGTGTGCCGTGAGTTCACTGAGCACAAATCCTCACTCTGTTTTACCTTGAATTCTTCGCATCAGATGGTCACTCCGTTTTACATTCCGGGGATTGACCCACTCCTCACGCAATTCATTCTCGTCGTATCTCTATGTTTATTGGTGCAATTTCCCCTTATCGATTGTCCCTCCACGCAGTAAGCATTAACCGATTTATTATATTCCCTTCTAAATTAGATCATGTGCTTCCCCGATCGACTTCGTGGCTCGACCGACCGAGTTAGCCGTGGCGTCTCCGATCAAACGGCCGTCAAGTTGTCTGGAATGATCCGTCAGATATGTGACCCAAATCCGTCACCTCGGAATCGTCACCCACCGGCTCATAATTGTTGGCCACTTCCACCGAATTGGAGCCAATCCAAACACCAAGGAAACACATCTATCTCCGGGGCTGTAGAATTAGCTTGTTGTAGGCTCGAAGTCGATCTCAGTTTGAGTGATCGAATTCACCGAATTACCGACGCTATGGCCGCAGCTTCTGAGGCAGTCAGCAAATTTGCCGTCTGGAACATGTCTGAATCGGGCCGTTCCTCCCCTGTTTGGCGAGATACCAAGGCATGTGAACCAGATACTCGTCCCGATGAATTAAACAGTGTTGACCTACAGTGCAGATCACGGCGGGTAAGATTATCTTGTTCACGGTTTCACACCGTCGACACTGTATATTCTACATCAGGCTTACAAACTTTAATACTAAAATAAGGTGCTGTCTAAGCTTTCGTATTAACTGTAGAACTAGAATCTCAGTTAAACGCTATATTCCGATTAGTTGCTAAGTAGGAATCAATTGTAATTCGTATACTTTTTAGGACTATGCTCATGGGATAGCAGTGTATAACCCGAAACAGTGTAACTGGAACTGAACACACCGGGAAATCTGGACCTGCATCCTGAAATAGTTTTAACCAACTTGTCTTCTGATGATCCACTCCGTAGACATTTAGGAGCAGGCGGGTTACCCAAGTCGGACTTGAAGATTCCAAATCAGTTATTAATCTGGTCAATGCTGCGCCATTTCCTGGAAGAGCACGAGTAGGCCTCAAAGTTAATTAGGTTGATCATCGTATCACAACGTTGGTGCGTCAATTGACCAAACCATGGAACGGAACAGCTGAACTAGCACTCGCATACGCTATATGTTGCATCATAGAAATCGCACTTGTTCGTTGAAATGTCCTTCCTACCGGCGGGTTAAAGAGTTTATCACAGTCTAGAAGGCTCAATGCCTCAGGTGTACATGTATGTTCCACCCGCGGAGGCCAGGGGCCACAAATTTATGGGAAAATATGACTTAAGGAATCCTGGTAGACCCTGGATTGTGTGAAAACTTGTCTGGCTCGTGGGTTATCGCACATTCTTTCTATGCGAAAGCAGTCTTTTAGCTGAGACCCTTCAAATAGTCATCTCCTTTTGGGTTTTGCCCGTTAATCATCACTTGACTTTCTGAACTAAGGATCTATGGGTCCCATCCGTGATGTAATGTGCCACTCTGTGGTGGGTACGATCAACAATATCTTCATTTTCCT